TTAATATTGCCTTAGAGAGAAGACTGGTGACAGGAATTGGCAGTATTCCCCACAACGTCCTACTGAAAGAGTGGCACTCCACTGCGCGTCACAACAGATCAGCAACACTCCCTCATCGTAAAGCGTTAGTGTCAAGATGCCTTCTGAAATGATACTGCCTACCAGCTGGCAACTCAATACAATGTCTCTTACTACTGGGGTCTATTTATGGGATGCAAAGTGTCCAGAAACAGTTACCATGCAGGTGGTATTTATTTGAAAAAACATTCACAGGGAACACTGAGGGAGATGGCTAAGTGCAAATACACACACGCACACAACACCTCCACAATACCCATGTGGTAAGAAAGCGAGATTTAATAAACTATGGACTATGGAAAATCATACTTTTGAAAATGTAAAGTATCACTTTAACATGTGGCGGATTCCCTACCACATAAAGTTTCAGCGTCCACAGACAGAACTTAAGATGGTCCGTTCTTAGAGGGATTAGCACCAAAATTTGTTTTTAATTGGGTGCTGTCACACGCAATGGCACTGGGAAAATTAATTCTGCATTGTATGGACAAATGCCACTTTTACTTCCAAGAGAAGCTGTGATCCAAACTCTCTCAAATAAAGTTTACTGCATATGCTTGCAGTTAACTTGCTGCAAATATGAGGAAAAGGTTATTAAAAATAATCTTCTAACTTGAAAACCAAAAAACTATGCAGGTTTTAAAATATTAAATAATACAGTGCCCAGAATGTGTTATCAGCCTCCTTTTTATGTAAAATGGAATCAATTTTTAAGGATGAAAGAACTAAAAATACATACTTGAAATTCAAAACTACCTAATTATATTTTTCCTTTACACACCTAAGTGTCCTTTCTCAATAATTATTCGTTAACAAAGAGGTACACATCCCAATATCCAGCTGACAGTAAGCATTTCACTTAAGGCATGACTGTCTAAAAGTTTTGATCCAAAGGCATCTTCTATTTCTCCAACAATACAGCTTTTCCTAAATTCCTCCAAACGTAAATTAGTTTCTTCTGGCCGGGGCAAGTAAGAAGGGAATTTTTAAATGCCAACAGTATACTTTGGAGTAAACACAAAGGGATAGAAATGTGAACAGAAAAGCTTAGAAAAGTTCAAGAAGAATGAAATGAGAAATTAGGAACAAACACTAATTAACTCAACAAGCCCCCTAGGCATTGAATTTTTGTACTTCACTCTACCAAACATCTTCCAAAGTTCGACTTTGTTTGAATTTTCCTTTTTCTCCCTCGTTTGTTGTCTCTGATCACCCGTGGGGTTTCCTTACCATGCATGGCATGTTTGGGGCCCGAGAAGAGCTTGACGAGGGCCCAGAAGGCGTCCTCTTCATTCATGTACATGAGGAGTAAGGCTGTGATGTGGCTCATCCCCTGACAGTATCCAACCTCCTACAGAGTAAATGACAGCAGGGAAGCCGGGGGTTTTAAGATAAAACCACGTGTATACACACATATTAAAAAAAAAAACTGGTGTATAAAATAATCAGAAAATGTCTAAACAGGTTATTTACAGACAAATACTACAATCTTAACAGAGCTGAGCCACATGCTATCAAAGAACACATCCGTACCCAAGAGGAAGTGCAGGAGCACGGGCAAGTCCAAGCCCACGTGTGTCTTACTAGCCTCTGCTCAGTGTCATTACACCTGCTGTAAAGAGCACTATTTATTTTCCTGTTTAATGTGTGATTCTCAGCTCAATATTCCTCTTCTTTGCTCAGATGCTGGCAAAGTTGAGTTTTAGCCTGCTCCACCACACAGCAAGTAGGTACACAGGGTAGCCTCTCCGGACCTCACCCAGTGAATGGAGCACAACCTCCTGGGGCAATGAAGACTGATTGAGAGTCAGGCAAATTCATCTACCCACCACTTCCTGTCCTTCTAGTCCTGAGCATTCCCAGTCCTATTTGCTTAAAATAAAAACAAAATAAACAGCAACAGAAAACATAACAGAACAATCTACATAATGAGGGAAAGAGTGAGATTCACTGTCATACCATCATTTTTCCCATTTCCAAACCAGCCCTGCTCTAAGACCCCAGGGCTGCCACGGAGCCTCCAGAAGACCCACCGAGACCAGGAGACCATCCAGCCCCGAGATGAAGAAACGCTGGCCAAAAGGGTCATGTCAGGGAGGGGTCCCCAAAGACACGGTCCAGCTGCTCAGACTACAACTCCACTGTGGGCAAGCGCGCCCCACTTACCGTGTTGTAAATAGAATAAGCAGCGAGAACATGGAATAGGGATTGTTGCCTAGAAAAAAAAGAAAACTTCCGTTGAACACGACTGAGTTATTTCACATATTTCTACAATTATACACTTAAAAAATAAACAACGGTTTGACTGAAGATAGACAGATAATCTATCTGGACTATCTACTATTATAATAAAGAAATGGTCCCAAGCTGAATGCAACAATACCCTGTACAGTCTAAATGTGAGGCTAGATAATGTTCATTCTGACGGAAAGAATTTATACCACAATGCACAAAGGGCTTCACTATTTTTAAAATGTGCTGCCCTCTTTCACTGAACTATTCTCTCCACGAAGTCATCCCACAACAGTGGCTAGCCTGAAGAACCGGGGAACACCATTCTGAAGCCTCATTCACAGCTGGGGGCTCCACCCTGCAGGGCTGGGGCTGTGTCCCCCAAGAGGCGGGACAGGCTGTGAATCAGCCTCCAAACTCAGGGCTGCCCCTCCCCACAGCCAGGGTCCCAGGGCCCAAGACTCAAGGGTGGAAGTGGGGGTGGCTCCACCCTCACGACCGCTCATCGTCCCCCAACAAAGTGTGTGCTCCCTGTCCCATCACCCTCGGGCTCTGCTGGTCTAGAGGTCCTAGTGCCAAGGAGAGGAATGTCTCCCCCAGGAGAGACAACCATTCCCCAGGACTGGAAGCTGAGATGGTCACCCGGCCACTTTGGGCAACAGACAAAAGAGATGACTATACTGAGTGACTGATCCTGGCAACCGGGGGCAATGAGCTGCCGGGACACGGTGGACAGAAGGAAGAGTGTGTCGAGAACACAAGAACACGGAAGGTGCCTCTTAGTAAAATCAAACCCTGTGATGAGAGTCAGTGGAAAACTACAACAGTCAAGTCCAGGCAGGACGTTAATAATGGTCCCGACCCCTGAGGAGTAAAGGCTGCAGTCCCTCCACCAGGTGAAGAACCACAACCAGCTGAGGTACCTGCCGAGGGCAGAAGGAGAACAGACGGGTCGTGGGAAGGTAAATTATGAACCAGCAATGACCACACGCCCAGTACAGAAATGATGGCTGTAACTGTTACGAGGATTTCTTCCGTAGTTTGGCATGGACATGTTTGTGTGCGTGCATTTTTTTAATGTGTTTTCTTCCTTCTTTTTTATCATCTAACGTAAGACGTTTAGTAACAGTTGACTTCATATCACAGCATTCAGGTAACAGAATATCAAAGCAGAAGAGTGAGCACCGCCCAGAGACCCCGCATCCTTCTGTGCAGAGGGGCTCAACACAAGGTCAGCCGTAAGCAGAACAGCGGCCCCGTGCCAGGCGGAAGTACGGTTTCGTTGTCTCATCTGGAAACTAAGCTGACAGGGGTGCCCTGTGACGGCCAGCTCTGCGCGCCCACCTAGCCAAGCTGCAGCCCGTTATCCAAACCCTAATCCAGGTGTTGCTGTGAAGAAATTTTGTAAATGTAACTGAAATACAGTCAGTTGAATTTAAATAGGGAAGATTAGCCTAGATAATCAGGGAACCCTGATTCCACCCATTAAAAGGCAGGAAGAGCAGATCTGAGGCTTCCCTGAAGAGGAAACTCCTCCCCTGGGCAGTGGCTTCAGCTCATCCCCAGAGCAGGCCCTTCCCGACGCCGCCTACGGTCTCAACTTGTCCAGTCTGTCCCTGCAGCTCTGTAAGCCAGCTCCTCACGATAAACCTCTGAGCTTCCGTCCCTTACTGGTTTCCTTTTCTTTGGTTGAACCCTGATACGGAGGTCAGCAAAACTGTACCTTTCATTCATAAACTGCCACAGTCATTTCATCGCTCATTTTCCTTTTTTTTCTCTTTTGTTCCATCAGTGTGTGGAGTCAAGATTATAGGGAC